CATTCATGGCTTCCTAAGGGCAGAGAAGAAAAACGACAATGTCACATATCCTCTGGGATGTTTCCCTTTCTTTTCAGAGTCATGAGTTCTTTAGATTCTATTATTCTATTAAAAAAACCACTGAAGACAATACTGCTGACTGTGCTGCTGGGATGTCATACTTTGTGAGAATGTTTTAATGATCAGACTTTGGTTTTTCTTTTATTTCCTTTTATTGTTGTTGTTATTAATATTATTATTATTATTATTATTATTATTACTATTATTATTATTTTGCAGTGCTGAGGATGAATTCATGGCCTTGTGCACGCCAGGGAAGTGCTCTGTCACTGACCTTCATCTCTAGTCCCAGACGCTGGATTCTTGCACTCTGTTTCATTTGCATTTCTGAATGTTCTCATAGTCAAAAATAGGGACTGTTTTTAAGTTTTTAATGAGCTGCCGGAGAAGCTTAATGACAGTATATGCAACTTGTGTAAACAGACAGTGAAGTTATGTGTTTGTGTCCAGAGAAAGAGTTATAAAAGACCTCAAATTATAATTATGTGAATCTTCAGAATGAGATACACAAAAGATAGGCATCAAAGGAGGAGAGAGAAAGGTAAGAAGAAACACAATGAAATCTTAGTGCATTTCACCTCTTATTGTGCAATTCATTTTTCATTCTGTAACACTGTTAGAATTATCAGTGTTGGTGTGTACAATAACCCAGACAGAAAGTGTCAGAAGTGCCATCCTACCTCTGTGTTCACCAAACTTTGTTCACTCAGAAACCTTTGACTCTCCAGACATCTGCATAATGGTTTTCAGTTTGGTTTCTTTATTTAACCTTATAATTTGTCTATAAAACCTTGGTCTGTTAAGTCCACTTATATGTAGAAGAAGTGACAGTGAATTTGTTTTATTGTTTAAGATATTTCAGATCTCTATGTGGGGTATCAGGATTTCTGGGAGATTTTGCTATCCTGATTTATGGATGGGTGACTGTCAATCCCCAATGTTCCTAGGGTCATAGACTTAATACTCCCAAGCAGACACCTCTGTGTTCCAAGGCAAAGGTGGGAGCCACAGAAAGAGGTCTGTATGGATAGGGATTCTCTCTTGTTTCCTCGTTCTCTCTGTCACTTGAATCTCATTATAGTTGGAAGGTTGGAGTTGTTTGGAAAGTGAAAGGAGAATCCTCACAAGACCCTCCTCCCTGAGTTAGATTCAGTTTGGGACATGGTCTGACTTCCTTCATGAGAGAGATAAAAACAAAGCCAATAGAATCACCTAACATATGCTTGTGTGAAGTTTCATTTTATTATTTGATTGATTTTCAAGATGCTTTCTATTAATGAGAGACAGTTATCTTTTGGTTCTAAATGCCAAAGGGCAAATGATAGAGTGATGGTTATTCAGGTAAATATAGGTGCAGAATACAGTCCCAGACACTATAGAAGTTTATAGTTAAGAGTATTCAGTAATATCTTAGTTACAAAATATGCTGCCTTCCAGATCACATCAGGTCATACCTTTTAAGGATAAGTTTGATTATTGCAAAGGATGGAAGGGACTTTGAAGTTTTCACAGCACACCCCTATTGAAGACTCTTTTTAAAACCTGTGTATAGATCCCCTTAGGCATAGAATATCTGTGGGCATTTCCTTTATAGCAGGAATTCTGAGTACCTCAGAAACCACCAGGACAAAGTAAAACAGCAAAAAATATTTGGTGAGAAATATCAAGTGGGAGTGAACTCACCAATCCAGTGTGCTCCATTATCCCATTGCTCTTGCTTCCTAGAGGCTGATCACCTGCTCTTCGGAAAAAGAAAACATTGCTAAAATAAACATTGTGGAAATAAGAGAAGGCTTTCAGATCTGCTCCTGATAACCTTTTTTGTCAGTCTTTCCAGATACCACTTCACTAAAAAAAAATGTACCCTTCTCTAAAGAGCTCATTCTCCCTGAGTCCAACTTGTGGTTAATAAAGACAGAAGTTATTTACTTCTGAGGGTTCTTCCTCATCCTCCTGTCCTTCACTTCCCTGAGTTTCCCAACCCTCTGGCTTGTAAAGGTGAATCTCTTTCCATCAATTCATGTGACTTTTGGGATTATGTTTGCTCAGTCACCCAAAAGAAGGCAGAGCTAAAGGGCATGGGTTAGGGTTGTTTTACACTTGTGCCTCTTCTAAAACCATCTTCTCAAAGAATTGGTGATTCTGTCTCATCATCTTCTGTTTTCACTGCAGCAAAAGGCAGACAGGGCAGAGGGCATGGCATCCTTGAAAGCCAGTAATCATAACCAGGGTGGGGGGTACACGAATCACTTGGAGAGGGACTGGTGTATTTATTACAAATCAAAGAATTATTTTTGTTAAGTCTTTGATACCTACTGATCCTAAGGGATATATTCTTTTGTGGATTGTAAATGAGGGTTTCTGTGAGAAGACTGTCAATCCCCAGTGTTCCCTTCCCCCTGGATCTCACGAAGGGCTCCTGTGACCCAGTGTCTCCAGTGGCAATCACATCATTTCATGCCATTCTTAGTGTGCACATTTATTTTCTTCTATTCACAGGTAGGAGTTAAGATGGTGCAAACACTAAAGCAATGATTCCTGTTCTTTCACATTTAATATTATTCATCTTTTTAGTCTTTCTGAACCTTTTGGAATCTTTTGTCAATGTTAGAGTTATTACATTATATTTCTTATTCGCTTTCCTACTGACCCAATGATTTGAGAGGATGTATGCCATTTAAAAATTTTATGTAATTTTCTTTTATTTAAAAGCTTGTTTAGCAAATTATTATATTCACCTGATCAGCTCTGTAATTCTAGTATGATACCCATAAATACGTATTCTTTCACTGTGAGCAGAATCCAAGAGCACAGATCATGTAGGTATGTAGTGAAATGCTGAAGTTCTAGAATACATCTCCCCATTTGCCTTTAGGTTATTTTAACGTTTTTAGCAGTTGTTCTTCAAAGTGGACATGATTGTTGAAATTGGCTTCCTTTGGTTAAGTAAGGCATTGTTTGTGATGACAAATTTTTGGACCCCTCATTTTCATCATTTTTGAGTGTGTGCATGTGTATTCATGGCATGCACATCCCATCTCAAGCATAGAACAGGATTGTTTTCCATTATTGGTTTTGGAGCCACCTCTAGTGAGACCATGCTGTTGTTAATAAACTGACTACAAGCAAAGGAAGGTTTTTGCACTTGCTCATTTTCTCAGTGTTGTTCCTCTGTGGTAGAAATATTTTTGTCTTTTAAATGATAGCAATACTTTAAAAAATGATGAACATTTATATCCTAGGATGCTCAAGTATTTGAGTTTTCAGAATGTTTATTCATAAAGCCTTTTGTGTTTGAAGGCACATGGCCAATTTTCTTGACCCTAAGTCTCTGTCAGAATATGAATCAAAACCTTCTGTATCCCTCAGTGGGTGATGGGGCTGTGTTAACATGGAACTGAAGTATTAATCTTCAGGAATTAACAGGAGGGAAATGAGAAATCAGTTTTCATCTTTAAATATATATTCTAATACATAGAAAAGTTGTCCTTCCTAGTGAGGGAAGCAATTTACAAATATTCCCATCTTATGTTTTAACATAAAAGATGATGACATAGTAATGATAGTATTGAGGATGAGAAGCATCAAACATGGTTTTGTTTCACTTGGAGGAGTTAATAATGGTTGCAATGACTACTGAAGAAAAATGTCAAATTTATTAATATATGATGTGTTTATAAAATGAGCATTGTTTCAGCATTCAGATTCATATTTATTTGTATTTTTAGTCTGGCATAAACTAGCTCTATCCTCATAGGCACATTTGTACAAACTAAATATTTTATGTGTAAAGTACCTCAAATAAAGTATATACTCAATCAATGGTATTCTTCTCTTTTATGCTTCTTTATTAAATCAAATTCAATTATCATTAATTATTGAATTCAATGTTTTATCTGAGATACTATTTTTATTGTAATTTCTTTCATATTTGTGAATAAAATAATTCAGAAATATACATGTACATTTATATTCTATAATTTTATTAAACAATGAAAACTATGTAAATAAAATTTTAAATTTAAATGAACCAAAGCAAACAGTAATCAGTGGAGGAGAATGATATCTATACATATCAGAAAACATATGGAAAGATACCAGACTTCTGTCAAAAATATAGTAGATCTAAATCAACTCCCCAATAAAGAAGTAAAATGACAATTAAAATATACCATATGCCAACACAGTCAAAAAACATAAAGAATAAAGGACTGAGACAGTCAGTATAAAGGATCAAAAGCCAGACTAATAAATAAAACTCTCAACTTGAAGATCAAATGTCTTTGAGTATCACTGAACCTATGACAAAAGGAGCTCAAAACATTTTTCTAATTATGTAATGAGACAATATAAGTCGGAGAAATGAGCTTTGTAGTAGCATGATACTTCGAAAATTTACTCAATTATGTTCCCCCATTGTGTATTCAAAAAAATTAATTTTTCTTACAATTTTATTGTACCATACACAAAAGAAAATGCACATTGCATCTACAGCATACCTATTTGCTTTATAATGTTTATAAATGCACAAAACATTTATGTTAAAGCATAATGAATAATTATAAGACAAAGATCTAATAGTCTCTAAGAAAGA